TAAATAGTAAATATTTTAGAACCTACTAAACTAGCCAGAACAATCAGATATTTATCAAATCGCACAGTGGTAGACAAATATGGATATTTTAGGCCCTACAAACTGCCAGAACAATCAGATATTTATCAAATCACACAGTGGTAGACAAATATGGATATTTTAGGACCTACAAACTGCCAGAACAATCAGATATTTATCAAATCACACAGTGGTAGACAAATATGGATATTTTAGGACCTACAAACTGCTAGAACAATCAGATATTTATCAAATCACACAGTGCTAGATAGTTATCTTCTTTTTTTGTCCAATTCAAATTAACCATTATGAAAGAATAGCTATAATAGAAAAAGGACTTCTTAAAACCCTTAATAAATACGAATATTTTATGATCTACAAACGGACTGAACAATCAGATATTTAAAAAAATTCACAGTGCTAGATACTCAACGTTTTTTGCCCAATTCAAATAGGGCATTATGAAAAAATACCTATGATAAAAAATTACTTTTTAAAACTGTTAATAAACACGGATGTTTTACGACATACAAAATGACGGAACAATCATATATATATTGAAGTTCCTTTTTTTTTACCCAGTTCAAATCGGCCATTATGAAAAAATAACTACAATAAAAAATTAATTTTTAAAACCCTTAATAAATACAGATACTTTAGGACCTACAAACTGACAGAACAATAAAATATTCAAAAAATTTCACAATGTTAGATACTCAATTTTTTTTGTCCAATTCAAATTGGCCATAATGAAAGAATAGCTATAATTAATATAAATGCACATGTATGACACGGTTTGTTAAATGTGTTCTGTTCTTACTACACTGCAGCAAATGTACGTAAAAATATTACTTTTTCTACACATAGAAATAAAAACATTGCGTGTTTGAATCTCGGTAACTAGCAATCGATTATTAAACAAAATGACATTTTTTTTTCACCACGCCCAATTTATACATCTATTAATGTGGTCAAAATCTTTCTTTCGAAGGCTTTTTACTGCAAAACTTCAAAATTTAACATGTTTATGTGTTTATTACCACTTTTACATTTTGACAATTACTTTTAATTGACCGTTTAAATTTTCCAATAATTTCATGCTTACATTCCATCTTCTATATTTTCAATTTTGCAGTTTTATTTCTTACCTAAATTTCAAAAATCAGTATATTGAACTATAGAGATTAATGTTAATATTTTCATAAACTTTATTTATATATATTTATAATTAACTGATACTTAAAAAATGTCTCTCCGTTCTTTCAGTTTGATTCTTAAAATATTCATTAAAAAAACAATTATTTCAGGTGCTAAGTTTGGTTCCTTTATAATATAACTACGATTTCGAACATAAAGCACCCAGCAAATCACTAATTAAAACCATTAATTCTACATATATGCCCCACAACATTCGGTTTTAAAATACTGAACCTATCTATAAACGATCCCATTTTGGAAATGCTGTTTTAAAACAATGTACAGTAAAACTTACAGTACATTAACATCTGTACGACAAATGTTTCACAACAGGAACACCTACATCCAGAGACGACTACACACGGATGAAACGCTTTTCTCTTGCCATACCAAGTCCAATTCTCTGGACTGACTGAAGATTACACAGCTACAAGACGCTATTGTATCTGTTACATCCATAAGTCTATATTCTAATTCCAAGCTAGTTACTTGTAAGCCAGCTTTCACAATGCTTTCAGTCTGTGCCACTGCGATATGGCAGTTCTGGCTTTAGCCAGCATGTCACACCAGTGTTTGGACTCGGTGGGCCCGCTCCTGGAGGATAAGATGACCTTTCCAATATGCTCGTTTCGTCCAATTGTGTCAAAGTCCATGACCGTTACGGACAGGTAAGTTTCCCGGATGTGTTCCCAGGGTACGATGAACTGAAAGGTTTCGTTAAACACCGGATTTAATGTCCGGTTATGGATCTTAGTTTTCTTTTTTTCCACCCGTTTGTCTCCTCGATGAAGCCACACCTTAACGTATGGATCTAAAAAAACAAACAAACAACAACAACAAAACAAACATGTGTAAAGGTTTTCAAGGACAAAACACTAGCACACTAACTACGAGACTCTTTATCCCATAAAGAGTTTATTAAATTCGCAGCTTGTTTATTACAATAGATAAAAAGTTTCTTTAAAGAAGTGTTTTGTGAGGTAGGACAATCATCATTGGACAATCATCGTTAACCTAATTACTACATATCCTTGTTAGCACTACGGAAATCAAATGAGACTTTCTTTATCCCGAGAAATATATTCCATTCGACAATTCAAGATGTTTAAATGTTATCAAAGTTACTCGATATGAATTGGATAATAAATTCTTAAACCAATTTCCCCAGAGAATGATATCATTTGTATTTCTACTCTTTCATTATATAAGAATGTCTTTGACTGTCCGGATGTCTTTGACTTAATGTACGAAAATTTTATACTTACCAGGAACTATATGAAATCATGAAATCAAGAAATTGAACAACTCCCTACAACTAAAAAATCAAAGTTACTTTAGATATTACGGAAAAAGCTTTGGAAAAATTAAATTTGATTAACCACTCAGATCTCAAGCTAGTCATCATATGAATTGTGTTAGTCAGGTCATGATGTTTTTATTTCAATTCGTTTTAAACTGTTAAGAAATTAAAAAATCTCACATATAGTAATACCTTATGAATGACACACATAAGACAATTGTTAAATTACAAATCCTGGTCTGTAACCGCAATCAAACTATATTTCCCATTTAGAGTTGAAAAAATTGAAAGCTAAATGTAGCAAAATATAAATTTGTTTTCGTAAACATCTCTGGAATGAGTTCATTGTGACAAAATTTTCATTTTAATCTAATCAGATCGAGTTTTAGTGCCAGCAGTGAGACGTCTGATTTTAAGTATTCTAGATGAAAAAGTCAGATCTCGTGCTTCCTAAACTGGACTTTACCTGACGACCCGTTGATATCCTTAGCTTTCAAGTTCCTTGCCTTGATAAGAGAAATGGACAGCTCACTTGTTCTAGGGATGTAAATGAGTGTCACCAGTATCTCGCCTAACTGAAAAAAAAAAAGAATATCGAATCCTTTATTAGTAATGATACACTACTGTGGTTAGACCGTTTCGCATTACAATATAGGATGGGAAGGCTTATCACTAATAACACAAAAACATGATCTGACTACTACTTATTACAACATACATACCTGATAGAACACCTTATCACAATCATTAGGCCATTTTTCATTATAATACATTTCCTAGATGCAACGCTTATTAGTAGAACACACTTGAACTGTTTATTAATACATGTGGATTGCTGAAGCTCGTAGTTCGATGGACAAGATTTGGCCCAGTTCACGTTGCTAGCGTGTTTCACAATCTTTCACTCTAAAATACGTGGATATTGGTTTTATTTAACAGTTTTGTACAACCTCACGTTTAACTTAAGCCAGATTTCTAATTTGTTGCTGCTCAGCTTCATATGCGCCTACAGTAATGGTTCGTATAACCAGTACACGTACTCTTGCAAACATTTAGGAATGTTTTCAAAAGGTGGGGGAACGTACGTCAACTCCAAGAGGAGTATTTCCCACACGACCATTAACGAATTCGGAAAACACCCGGTGGTCTGTTGATCCATCACCCTATATGCCATAAGATCAGTCCCTCATAGCTATACAAACTATTTAAGCATTGTCCGATAGCTTGCACACTACCCACAGACCATTAAACTGAGGATGATATGGTGATGTGATATCCTCACCACTCCTAATATGGGAAACAGCTCAGAAAGCCGTGAAGTGTTAAAGTTAACTCGTTGATATGCATCTATTTTCTTGGAACCATGAATGATAACATTCATTGTTCTGCTAACTTATCAGCTATTAACAATGCTAAAATATCAGCATATGGAAAGACTTCAGTCCACTTAGAGAAATAATCAGTTGTGGCCAGCCTACATGATTGTCTTTTTCGTTTGCTTCTGAGGAGGGTCAATCTATATTTATGGTAATCCACTGTGGTGAAGAAGTAATCATTCTTTATTACAACACTGGCAAACTCCCTGTGCAGGCGGGTAGTATAAATACTATCATTCAACATTTTTATTGGAAAGTGCCAAACCTTGGTGTCCATGAGCTTGCTACAGTGCGTGAAACTCTCTGGTCTCCGATATTCGTATCAATTAAAAAGCTTTTGTCTAAAGGCCCTTGGAACCACTAGCTGCATCACAATAAGCACTCCATCCATGTATGGATTAAAATAATGGTAGAATTCCCCTCCTCTACCTCATACAATTGCCAAGGGTTACAAGCTTTCATGCTATATTCACAAAACTGTGTTGGTCAAACATTTTGCCTGCTGTATGGGAACTACGACACACCATCTTGTACCCGTGAGAGCACAGATCTGACTTCATTATTATGTACAAAATCTTGGTGCTCCTTCATTTTAACTACAGCTACTGGTGACAATCATGTACTCTCTAATGGCTAAAATGTGCTAACTACAGATGTTGAGTGCATTATATTAAAATGGTTTTGGAGCCTCGCCATGTTGTTGTAGACCATTTTGGCACGTTTCTTCATACTATATCTGAAGACCGTGTTCATGTCAATGGGCCTTCTCATTGTAAAAGACTCCATCGCAAGACTGTCATGTCCAAAGCACACCTTTCCTCCCGAGTGGGTTTTACATAAGTCATCTACTGTGCAAGGACAACTGTTTCCAAGCATTCGTTCCAACAGTTCGTGAATTTTCACTTGCTACAATAAGAATTTACTTACCAGAGTTGTGGTACGACTTATTGTAGGTCTCTTTCTGGATGGTCCTGGTTACCACTGATGTTGGTCTATGTCCATATTTATTTATTAATGTAATTAAGTACAAAAGATATTCACAACTTGAAAATTCTAAATTCCCGATTTGAACAGATTTTTATGATCTGAGTCTATGAATATTTTGCATTGGAGAGATCTTTTAGATACTCCTTTCCAAAAGTAAGAAAATTTGTGGTAGCACCAAACTACCTATAAAATGTCAAACAATATCCAATTATTGTTCCACTGGGACTTGATATAGGCTTTGGTTGTCACGTGATCTTTTAATTTGAACATTCAAAATCGTTTTCATATAATGTATTCAACCCTCTGTACATTTCTAGTTGCACGTAAAAGTTTGTACAGTGTCACTTTGTTTAATTGTGCATCATCAGTACATCTACGATGGCAGATCAAAAGTTTCTCCACCCAGACAAACATATGATTTTACAAGAACATTGGCTATTCTGTAAGCAGCTCAGTGAGATATTTCTTCTGGTTCTTAGATGTTCTAGAAGATCTTTATTTGTTCTCTGACGCAGTTTGGATGAAATACCACTAGACATACATCCAGTGTAACTTACTTCTTTTTCACACTCACATACCGTGCATACTACAAATCCAGCTGGCAATATAAATGGCAAATATTACTAATTATATACCAACACTATTATTTATCTTGCTTTCAGAGAGATTACAAGTGGAGTAAATGTGACTTGGTTTATGGGGAATAAACAATGTAATTCATGTATTATTTCCATCCTGTATTTGCTTGGCAAGTAGTAGCACTTAAAGGTGTGACTTAAGTTTCCTTTGAAACACTGTTCGGTAGAATGTAACCTGTTTTTGGTAGTGAGTTGTAAACTAAGGAACCTCAGATCCACAGTCTGGCACGCTAACTGGGCTACGCTAGCTCGAACATGCACGAAATTGCATTGAACGAGGAGGGACTTCCCAGAAAAAAGTGCATACCCGTTTGTAATTAAGCAGATTACACACACATAATATAACTTATTGTAAGCTACTTCAAGGGATCTTCTTCCCTAATGTCGTGTAGCAGATGTGGAATTAATCTTGTGGTTCCTGTGAAATGTGAATAATATAACAGACTGAGAGTTTGGAAACTTACCAGATATTATACTAAGTGCCCCCCAGTGGCATAGCGGTATGTCTGCGGACTTACAACGCTAGAAACTGGGTTTCGATACCCGTGGTGGGCAGAGCACAGATAGCCCTTGTGTAGCTTTGTGCATAATTTAAAACAAACAAACAATTATACTAAGTTATTGAAATGTAAATCCTATAAGAGAAATATCACAATATCATATACAATAAATGTCTGAAAGTTTCCATCGTAACGCGAGAAAATTGGACTGCTTATCAATAAAGCACTTAGACTGATTAGACTATTTAGAAGAAAAACTCAATACCCAAGTAAAATATTTATGTATATAATGAATGAACCAATTATAGTACTTATCAACATTAATGAAAAAATAATTAAATAGTTTGTCATTACAAATAAGATTAATTCAACTTTATATGAGTAATTTTTATGTGCTAACGTAGTAAGAAAATGACACAGTTGCGGCCATGGACGGCAAGGCGAATTCTAGGTTATTCGAAAGGGCAAAGTCACTAACGAGTAGGCGAATCCTTAGAAGGGATATTCCTATAATGAGATTGTGAAATGATGTAGAGTCAAATGATACGATATTTCGAAAAAAGGGAGTCTTCAACGCTCTATATGGAAGTAGAAAACTACATAGCAAAGAATTTTGGATAACAACAGGCTCCAAAACCATACAAAAAACAATCTGGAGTGCTACCTCCATCACAAAATAAAGCTATGATTATGATAAGAACCTTTCGACCCCAAAATCCATTGTGATGAAGTTGGGCATATCTCACAAAGTTAATAAGCAAGAATGAAAATCGATGAAGGTTCAAGCTTTTAGTTACGCCTAAATATCATTTTATGCATTTATGAGAAAGATATTCAAATGAACAGCAGTTTTATTCAACCAAATATCTGTCAACTTTCCTAATGCAGTCCGAATGTAATCCTTTACCAGCATGACACAATCTAATTAGGTTGTTTATTATTGTAGCATTTGAACTGATTACAATGCGTATTGAGTAAACTGATTGGACAGTTTATTAGTATAAACGTGAACCGACTGGAATATTTATAAGGATAACACTGTTAACATTTTATAAGTATATCATATGAACTTATCAGCGTAACATTTAAGCTAATGGATCGGCATGGCATAGTGGTAAACGTGCCCAAATATGAATTCGAGGTTCTCCATCCGTTTCAGTAAAAGCGCACTCCTCACTTTGAGGCCGTGAATGCGCTGCAAGAGGGACGGTCAATTCCCACTATTTCATCATGGCCTGGCATGGCCTTGTGGTTAAGGCGCTCGACTTGCAATCTACGGGTCGCAGGTTCGAATCTCTGTCATCTAAATGATCGTTCTTACAGCCGTGAAGGCGTCATTATGTGACTGTCAATCCCACTATTCGTTGATAAAAGAGTAGCCCAAGAGTTGTCGGTGAATGGTGTTGACTAGCTGTCTTCCATCTAGTCTATCACTGCTAAATTACGCATGGCTAGTACAGATAACTCTCGTACAGCTTTGTGTTTGTTTGTTTGTTTTGAATTTCGCGCAGAGCTACACGAGGGCTATCTGCGCTAGCCGACCTAATTTAGCAGTGTAAGACTAGAGGGAAGGCAGCTAGTCATCACCACCCACCGCCAACTCTTGGGCTACTCTTTTACCAACGAATAGTGGGATTGACCGTCACATTATAACGCCCCCACGGCTGTAAGAACGATCATTTAGATGACAGAGATTCGAACCTGCGACCCTCAGATTGCGAGTCGAGTGCCCTAACCACCTGGCCATGCCGGGCACAGCTTTGTGCGAAATTCAAACCAAACCAAACCAATAATCGATCACAGAAAAGTAACCCAACATTTGGCGGTGGGTGCTATCAATTAGCTGCTTTTCTTCTAGTCAATATTTCAAAATTAGGGACTAATTAAACTATTTATCAGCGAAACACACGAACTGATGAGATTGTATATGAGCATGACAAGTTAACTAAGCAGATTATTTATGTGCATTATCTTGAACTAATTATACTGTTTGTCATTATCAAATACAAATTACTGTTATTTAGATGATTGAAAAATGACCAAGTACAATTTTGAAATTAAGAAAATTATATTTTTTAGTAATCTTCAATTAATTAAAATATATTCAATTCCGATGGCATGCATTACATAAATTATTAATTCTTCTTACCTTTTTAATAATAATTTGTGAAACTAAAACCTACTCTGCTGTAGAATACCAAAATGACGTAAAGATTCCTTTGTTATACATATATTCAAAAAATAATACAGCGAAAAAATATTTGTTATTGTTAAACACAAAATTACATAATAAGCTGTCTGTTATGTGTGCACCATAGAAAACTAGTTCCAAACTTTATAGTTTTTAGCTCTCAAGTTTACCTCTGAGCTACCAGTGGAGAGGGGAGCAGAAAAAAAAACAGATTACTAAAACACAGATGATGTTAGTGACGTTAACCTTGACCCTATTACATTCATTCAAAATTTTTACCGAATTGTATCTCCCTCTAACGTGTAAGATATTTTTTAAAAGTAACTTTAATAATTAATTTTATTTCGGTTTCAAAGAACAGCATTGAAACATAAAACTTGTCCAAAGAGGTTTATCAGTTGTTGAGTATAGTACAATAGGGTATATAATACAGTTAGAAATACTTTTAAATCAATACGAGGCAAAAAACTTTATAGTTTATATTTCAAAGTTTGCATACAGCATGATATGGTGTCAAATGAAAATTTAATCTATACTGTTGCGCTTTAAGCGACTAAATGGTATTACAGATATAAAGACAGAGATAAAAAATACTTTCTTGAATCAATTAAACATTTTACAAGTGCAAATTTTTTTCTCAGTAAAAAAAGGAATCAAAGAATTTTTGTTGTTGTTGTTCATAAACAGAAAACTACACGATAAACAATCTCTGTCCATCACGGGTATTGAAAGTCGTTTTTTTAGAGTTATAAATGTCGCTAAACAGGAACCGTAATAAGAATCTCATGGGAAATATGATGTATTTCACTAATAGAAACACGTTTATTGATGTTATTACTCATGGAAATATATGTATTCTATTTATGTCTGTACTACGGTCAATTCGTTTAATTAAACAATTTTTAATCTGTTTGTTTGTTTTGAATTTCGTGCAAAGCTACACGAGGGCTATCTGCAGTAGCCGTCCCTAGAGGGAAGGCAGCTAGTCATCACCACCGCCAACTCTTGGGCTATTCTTTTACCAACGAATAGTGGGATTGACGATCACATTATAACGCCTCCACGGCTGAAAGGTCTGGTTGAACGGGGATTCGAACCCGCGACCCTCAGATTGCGAGTCGAGCTCCCTAACCAACTGGCCATGCCGGGCCATTTTTTTTTTTTTTGGTAAGACTAACCAGAACTTCAGTATCAGGATAGCAATGCATTACCTTTGTTGACAGGGAAATTTTACTTATTGCTATGATCCAATGAACATTTCAGAAGTAAAACTTTGCATATTTTACTTTTTATTAGTTCACATTGTTCATATTTTATCCAATCAAATTGTTTTCACTCATGTGCCTAATTATCTAGTGTGGTTGGTGGTTATTTGCCAAGTTTGGTCAAAGTAATATGGCGATTCCTGTTTGGATTTGTAAATAATTCTTAATTCGAATGCTAATCAGACTTTATCATTTATTTCAATGCAAAACAATTAAACTTTAAACACTGGGGGTGTCGATGTGATGATTCAATGCATTTTAATTTTAATAAATTTTTGTTTTATGACATTACATACTCCTGCTCCCCGGTGGCTCAGCGGGAAGCCTGATGGATTATTACACTAAACATTGCCTTTCGATACCCGCGGTGGGCTCAGCAAAGATAGCCCATATTCGCCGTTAGAATGATATAATAAATTAGCGACATTATTTATTGGATTAATGTTTAGTTCTGAGCTATTTAAGTCATTTGATTTAATCAAAAGTTATTGATAACCGTTCTTAGACAAATATCCCCAAAACGATCTTCTTAAACACAATGGTAAGACTAAATTGGTTAGTTAGTTAGATCTTTCTTCTCTTTTCGAATTAAGAAAAAATAATTGATAATTTCATGTATATTATTGACACTTAAAGTTAGAGCTTCAAGATTTTATGACGCTCAGGTCACAAAAACCTTATCCACCAAGACTAATGTACTTTTTTCTCATCAAGAAAACTCTGAATTTTGTCAAAAAGAAAAGAGACGAAACGCCAGGCCCATCCTACTAATTTACTACATGTCCACGAGTTAGGTCCCTTCCAAGAAGTAGTACCATTTCTCAATACAGGCAAATAAAATAATAATGAATTTAGGTTACTTGAGATGTACGAAAGACATTCCAAACGAAATACCCAATTATGCTTAATAATCCCAGAATATTATACCAAGCCTGAAAACAAATCGCATCTGTATTTCTTTTATTGAATAATTAAGAGAACAACAATGACAAAATCAATAACGATCATAACAATGCAAAAATTCAGGGGATCTTCTCATTATTTACAAGAAATGGTACACTTGATACCGATCCTTGTAAAGATCTACCACTTCTGATCATCACTACTTCCCCACAGTAGCACAGCAGGATGTCTGCGGACTTCTAACACTAGAAACCGGGTTTCCATACCCGTGGTGGGCTCAGCACAGATAACATATTGTGCAGATTTGTGCTTACCAATAAACACACAAAATTAATTTAACATTTTTTGGTAATCATACTTTCTATGGTAGGTTTAACATTGAGTCTTCGAAAACTATTTTTCCTGCTTGAAAACTCTATGATGTATTTTAATAAGACTCAAACTCTACGCTAATAAATAAAAAGTAAACAAGATATTTCAACTGAAAGGTTTCTAGCAGACTTGTATTGAATTATAAGCTTCTTGCTAGAAATGCATTTTAAGTTCCAGCTAGAAAAACAAATCCTTAGATGTTGTTCCACGATACTAGTAGCTGTCTGATACTTCTGATAAAAATGCTTTGGTATATTTAATACACGTTAATCACAAATATGCACGTTAATTGCACGTTACAATTATAGCGTTTACTTTTTTTCCGTAAAATCTTAAAAAGTACCAGATTCTATGCTTGAACAACTTACAATATATACTATTTATAACTAATTTTTAATCTGTTATCAACTTATATGTAACCAGCACTATATAACTATACAAAATAAAATAAATCTCACTTTATTTTAAATATACAAATAAATAACAAATTTAATTACATTGTTCTAAATGGTCGATATCAGCTACTTCAAAGGCGCTAAGAACTCGGCGGAAGTAGGGTGTATTTAACAGGACAAGCACATTGTTTATTGAAATTATTCAGTTCACGAGAACAAACGAACAAAAGAGCTAAGCTTAGGTGTTTATATCTCAAGCTGCAACTTCTAGTCACAATATTGATTACCAATGGTGGCATGGTAACAGATCTATGAACCTTATAGTGTGTGCATTACACATGCAAAGATGTGAAGGAACATACATAACTCTCATTATAAGGTATTCTACGTGTATAATACGGACCCAACTACTTTTAACTGTGGGGCAGTTACGAAATTGTTTGTTTGTTTGTAATTAAGCACAAAGCTACACAATGAGCTATCTGTGCTCTGCCCACCACGTGTATCGAAACCCGGATTCTAGTGTTGTAAGTCCACAGACCTGCCGCTGTGCCACTGGGGGGCAGTTACGAAATAAACGGAACTTCAAGCAAGTACAGTAGTAACTTCTATTAATTATATATACATATATAGTTTGTTAATCGGCTGACTAAATTATAATTTTTGAATCTCATTAATGTTGTACACAGTTAAGCTTAAGAGAAAACTTTTTTTATTTTGAAAAAAAATAAAAGATTATGTTTACATGAAAAGCTGTATTAGAAAATTAAATGTTTTAATTGATATAAATTCAATATTATGCAAAAATATTTTGCATTCTATAAATCATATATTTAAAAAAATTATTTTTATGAAATTTCAGACATGACCCATGGGACTCCTAGAGTACCCTCACGGCCCCAGTTTGAGAAACGTTGGTCTACAAAAAATAAAAATAGATTTTAACAACCAACACCTAAATCATCGTTCTACTACAGTTATAATAGTTTCTGCTTTATTTATATCACAGAGTTCTAACGGTATTACCATCGATGATCATCACCTACATAGTTAATTTTGTAAAATAACCCAAAATAGATTTTATATCTATATATGATTGCAATGAATTTATCTGTGTATTTTAAAAAGTGATTTAAAACAACAATACAAAAGTTATCAGTATATCTAGTATAGTTATTTTTATTTAAGTTTATAAATAATCTTCTAATAAACCATGAAGAGTTACTATGTAATTTAATAAACAGGATGGAACTTAAGCATGTACCTAGTATCTTTGTTTATTCTTTCAATATTCTTTTTTCTAAAAGTATCTGTGATCAGATTTGAATTTAATATATTTAGACATATTATACCAAATATCGTTTCTTTAGATAAGTTACATTTACTCACTTTTGTGTCTTCTGCCGGTTTGATGGATTTCCAGAATGTTGGCTTCTGAGTAAGATCGAATTGGCTTAATGGCAAATAAACATCACCTATAGGATCGTCTCGCGTGAAGCGGTCATAGTCGAAGACATGTAGATAGAGAATGGATTTCTGAAGTTTATAAAGTGGATAGCCTAGACAACATATAAATACAGACTGTCTGATAAAGTATGAAATCAATTACAGTGAAAATGGTGTAAAAGGGAGAAGAACTGTAACATTGATAAGAGATTTGAAACCGAAACTATGACGCCTGTGAACTCTTTTTTCCTCCGAGAATAAAAGTAAAAGAACATAAAAATCATATGGCAAGAATTTACTTATTAAGACAAAAGGATTTGACTATAGGGAATAACGTTATTTATCCGTTACTGTTATATTTAATTTATTCACACACAAGTTTTGAAAATGACCCATTAAATCTGTCAAGATTTTTCTAAGAAAGAGTGTTGAGTTATGTTTGTTCACTGAGAAGTAATTCCAGACGCAATAAGTTTTAACATATACTAATTTTCAAGCAAACGTTTATCTTTATAGAGCCTCGAAGTCGGCGCAGTTTAAAACATTTTACGCAAAACGATATGATGAATAGTATAAATGTGTTCCAGCACAACTTGAGACCATGTAACGGGTAGCTGTGGATAAAAAATGTTTCGTTACACATTTTAAAATGAATATACCATGACAAATGTGAGCAGTGTTTTGTGCTAAATACAAATTAAAATGAGTTAAAATATTGGCAATGTGTGAATAACGATAACAAAATTAATTGGAATGTTATTAAAATAAGGTTGGGCATATTTGAAATTGACATGCTTTATGTTTAGATGTTGACTTGTTCTTTGTTCCACTCAAAAAAAAAGAAAGAAAGAAAGAAGAAACAAGATACAATTTGTATGCAAATTAATGCAACGAGTGTAATTCAGTCATTAATGAATCACAGTTAGACATCAGGAAAACTCACTAGACATACTACTTTCTAGTGTGATATGAATGTGTAAAACATGTCTAAACATGTTTAAGTTAAAGAGTACACTTACGAAACGGCTCAACAAATTTAAAAAAGAAACTCATAACACGACCATGATAAAAAACTAATGTTGTACTGATGTTTCCAAGACGACGATGATATATGAGGCATTATAATAACAAGATTAATTTTGTACAGTCGTCAATAACCTGCATTTTACTCAATCCCGTGAATATATCATTACGAAAGTAAAAAAAAACTTTGCTCTTTCTACTTTTTTGGAATTTCAATACTAAGATAACATTCTAATCCCTGAAGAAATCTCAGCCTTAAAATAACTGTCACTAAATAGAAATATACATGTTACACGGTCGAACAAAGACAATGCCATTCTTAACAAAAATGACTACTTGAGTAAAATGCAGGTTATTCTTGACGATTCTGCCAAATTTAAGATCTTAAAGAATGACTCTTTTATCTCTTACCATCCAACTTTGGAAAAAAAATCCAAATATACCTGAGAGAACTTAAAAACAAAACGACCAATTTTAACGAAGCTTCGTGCTAGAATATAGGTAAATTCCATGGAATTAAACTTGGGTCAAGATATAAAGATGACTTACATAATCAGTTGATACACGGTAACACGTATGTCTCATACACTGATTAAACGATACAGAATGAAATACTCCATTTTGCTATAGATATGATGTACTTACATATTGCAGTTCCCATCGCCTGTCGACTTGGTTAAGAAGAACTAGGATGGTTAATCAACTTTCTGATCTGAAAGTTTAATACATGACTGCCAGAGCGCCGTCATCTGACAAAATCTACAAACTTTTCTTCAAATTAAACATTCTGATAATCATCGATATTTGTAGACTATGTAGAATGAAAACAAAGTATGTTCTTATAAACATGGCAAAAGTTGGCTAGAATTTGGGAACTACTAGTCATTTTAGTGGGTAGCAAAATCTGTTATTCTGGAATATTGCTTTTAGGTTTTTATTTTAATATTGTTCTTATACCCTCTACTCGGCAATATTTATTGTAGAAAGACTATTTTTATGTGCAGACTAAAGATATTATAGAAAACGTTGAATTATCGGTTCAAGAGACACACAAGTTTAGCTTGGGGGTAAGAAGCTGCTTTGTCGAACAGGAAGTCTTGTAAATGTCTTCCATCAGTACATAGAAGAAAACCCTTGAAAGTTTCTAGAGACCAGAAAGTCAAACAATGGGAAGAAGAGATAGTTTCCAAATTTGAAAGTAGAGTTTGAACTTGAAAGACTCTAGTTTGTTTTTTAAGTTTAGGATTGTCGTGCTTTTGTATTATGTTTAACAAAAAAAAATCAAACGTTTCGTCAAAATACTGCTGGTAAAAAGTTAGAGCTCTAGAAAAGTAATGATATAAACAGGTTCATTCATGATCGCATAGAAAAGTATCAATAGAGATTATGGCCCAGGCAAATAAAAAGGAATAGTAAAGTTTAAACCATTACAATATTTATTGTTCTTACCCTCAAAATAAAGTGTTTCATTCCAACGAGGATTTAAAGTCCTATGCTTGACTTTGGTTTCCAACTTGTGTTTCTTATCTGGCAAGAGATACACTTTCACATAGGGATCGCTTGTTCCTAGAATATAAAAGCTATATATCTTTACTTTGGCCTGGTTTTTAAATTTTGATTAACACACAACATCATAGTCATGAAAGTCAGTTGTTCCCCTTTTTTGTAAGCAAGTTATACCAGTCTTATATAAAACTGTTAATGTAAACTGTGAATTTTAAGCTTGTATCAGTTCTATAAAATCCTCTTTTAAACGAAACAACAAAAATTGACAATATCATTGTGAGTATAAAACCGTGGATCTTACAGTCAATATATTGTTTTGCAAACTATATAGGTACTATAAACATTCTAAATTGTTTTTACCTACGTTACCCATAAACCCCAAAGCAGCAGAAGCCAATACATTTTGTTAACAAACTGGTACTCCTATGACGTGATACGATTTGAAAATAAAAAACAATTGTTGAAATCTCTTTGACGGAAGAAAATTGATTTTGTAGTCAACGTTTCGACCAAACAATTGACGACCTCGATGAATACCGTTTGGTTGAAACGTTGACCGCATAGTTCGTTTTCCCTTATTGCGGTTTTAACCAGTTTTTTAAACTTGAATATATTTTTGCTGCTGCTTTGCTCTAGATACTTTAATATGAGCTTTATCAGAGTACTTGTAGAATACAGAATACTTTCAGATATATTGAAACTTATACTATGTAAGAAACTTGGAAAAAAAAAACAGGATTGGAAAATAGTGAAAATAATGGCCAATAGATGGTGCGGTCAACTATAAGTATCAAATAATTGTGCCTGTCGCAAAACAAGTAACTTTTGTTTGTTTGTTTGTTACGACAGGGTGACCAGATTTCCAAACTAAAAACTGGGATAGCTCAGTCCTCGTCCCTAATTTCAATATGGTTATTACAAGTTTGAAATAACTGAACTTTTATTTAATTTACTTTAAATTATTGAACTGCTCCACAATATTTTCAAATATATTACATTGGCATTGTTTTTGAAATAATTTCAATTACTTTATTTTTTTGTCTGATAGACACAAAACAAATTAGCAAAAATAGTCAACTTATACATCCAAGAAATCTTTAATCATTCATTTTATCCAATTTATCTTAAAACAGGCTATTTCGTGCCTGGATTTATTTAAGGATGTATAGCATTTTGAAACATACCACTTTTAGGTTTTAGCATTACCTTGAAACGTTTTAGATATATTTTTGTGAAGAATGAATTGAACGTAGTAATTCTCTTTTTTTTTTCATTAAATTGTCATAAGATTCAGTACATGACTGTGTAAAGTGTGTTTTAACAATGAGCACTGCCTCAACTATCACCATTCAGACCTGCTCAGACCTGGATTTCTCACCAAGCACAGATGGAACTTTCGAGAAAGTTTAGCAGCAGGAGAGTACGAGTTACAAAAACGATCAAGTCAAGTAGACCTATTACTTTCGTGGTTCGACGTTACTGACATTTTGATGTCTTTATCTTAAAACTAAGACGTTTTATACGTCTTGAGAACTCTTCTCCGGACATCGAGGCAAACTACCAAAAAACATGACTGTCCCGACAAGACCTGAACGTCTGGTCACCCTAGTTTGCAACCATGCACAAAACTACACAATGGGCTATCTATGCTGAACCACCCGCGAATATCTAAACCCGATTTTTAGCGTTATAAGATTACAGACATACCGCTAAGCAACCGGTAGAACAACCAGTAGCTCTTTGAAGGTATGGCTCTAACAACACAAGAAGCAAAATGCTCTTATAATATTATAGAGGCTGTTACACATGTATTACGTAGAAACATTGACATACCATAACCATCACGAGACTGTGAAAAGACAATGTAGAGGTGAATATTTCTCCCATTTGAATAGGTCACTTTATCATAAAACTTTTTACAGGTAGTGAACTGATGTCTTAAATCCTCTCGCATTTCGCTATTTGAGAAGAGGTGTCTCGAGACTCCGATACAGGCATGTTGAATATGACGGTTAACACTCTTACGATAAAATAAAGTACTCTACTAACCTCAAACAAACAGAGCATGATGTTTCCAACATATAGCAAGTTCAAATAGTTCACAAGAAACATCTTCCCTTAACAAATTCAACTATATGAATCTACGATCGTTCGTTTTTGAAATATTTAAATGATTTATAATTAATGAATTGATTATTTATATTGTGAAATTTTGTAAGTTTGTTTGTTTTAGAGAAAAGCCACATTGGGCTATCTCCTGTATCCACCGCGGAGAATCGAACACCGGATTTTAGCGTTATAAATCTGTACGTGGACTTACCGCTGTTCCACCGGTGGACAAAAATGTGTAACAGCGGCTCTCATGCCACTAAAACCGTATAGAGAAGTCTCTTTCATCAAATGCTATATAAGGCTATTTTCTACGGTTTGGTTTGATTTGAATTTCGCGCAAAGCTACAAGAGGGCTATCTGCGCTAGCCGTCCCTAAATTAGAAGTGATAGACTACAGAGAAAGCAGTTAGTCAACACAACTCACCGCCAACTCTTGGGCGACTCTTTTACCAACGAATAGTGAGATTGACCGTCACACTATAACCCTCCCACAGCTGAAAAGGCAAGTAGGTTTGGAGACGGGGATTCGAACCCGCAACTCACAGAATGCAAGTCGAGTGCTCTAACCACCAAGTCATGTAAAACAGAATGATCCAACCAAGATTTCATGAAGCCTAGCGTGACCTATAATAGTTAGCGCGTTTGGATTATGAATACGAGGGTTCCCTTTTCACGGCAAAATGCGACTCGTACTTTGAGGCCTTGGGTGTGTTATAAGAGTGGTGGTTAAATTCTGCTATTCGTTCGGACAAGAGTAGTTGATTAATTATCAATTACGGGCGGCAACATGCAGATAACTCTTTGTGCAATTTTCCTCAAAACGTCTGAAACAAATACATTGCATAATTTGACTTAATTAATACGTTATTTTATGACTTTAATAGCTTAGAAAAAAGAAATTCTGACATTTGTTAGACTATCCACATTAGGTAAAAACGTAAATATTTCAACAATGAATAGTGCAATTTTTCACTGTCGTGAAGTTATGAGGGCAGATAAGGCATTAGTGGAATATTTAGCATTATCCACAGTGTAATAAAGAGTCTCTCAGGGTTGTTTGATTTATATTCTAGCTTCAAATATCATTATGCAGATCTTTATTAAAGTTCGATTGTATCGTCTTAAGATTAAGATACAAGATGAACTACACAACAAGATCAACTACCTTACTATTCAAAGATTAACCTTTAGATCAACTATTGTATGATATTCAGACTAAACTACAATACCAACAATTGTACTATTCACAGATGAGCCTTCAATACTAACTATTGTATTATATTCAGACTAAACTACAATACCAACAATTGTACTATTCACAGATGAGCCTTCAATACTAACTATTGTATTATATTCAGACTAAACTACAATACCAACAATTGTACTATTCACAGATGAGCCTTCAATAATAACTATTGTATTATATTCAGACTAAAACTACAATACCAACAGGTATAATATCCCAACATTATACAACTGGATCATCTACATTACTAATTAAATTAGATTATCATATAGTGACCTACTCTCAGATTAGACAACTACTGAGTGGATTTTGGATTAACCTACCATATTAAGTTTTGAATGGTCATCAGATTTACCCTAGTGTCAGTATTTAAGTGGTATTCAGGATAACTTGCAAGATCAACAATTACATATATTTAATCGTGTAAGGATTTACAAAGTAAACTATCCAACTGTTGTTTTATCTTCACCAAAATAGTATTTAATTAACTGCTGAGTTATCCTCAAAATAACCTTATAAGATCAACCACCATATGATTTAAAAAAAAACAATTATTATATCATCTCCGAAAAAGCCTTAACTGATAAATTACTGAACGAACTTCAAACCAATGCTATTTAATCAACTACAACGTGATCTTCAAAATATCTTTACTATAGTCACTCTTTCTTGATCAACAGCTCCAATATCTTCAAAACAATATAATTAGTCAATGTCCAATAATATTTATTACCTGTATGTTTTTGTTCAACAAGTATATTTCTGTCTGCAAATTTATATGCATGGATATGCAAAAAGCAATTTTATGGATTTAATAGCGAAATATTGATTTATTTTTTATGCAACACTATAAACTCCATCTTACCTGTACACCATGTAAATCTGAACCATTAAATTAAAACTGTATATTTTCTAGATATTCACCATGAATGTATTTTGTGGTAATATTAATAAAATTACAATGTCACAAAGAAGCTGTAATATTTTACCAGGTGAATTACACTTAATAGTAGAAAAGGCGCAGTAAGCAACATATCGGTATGTGTACCGTCATAATGACTATAAGGCTATATATATACACACAAACACGTAAGTACAATGGCATAAAAGCTTACATGTGTATATAGGAATGTCTTGACACGTCAACTTCTTGTTTCTCTCTATAGTAACTAAACATGCGTAGTCTACATATCTGTATTGTTAACTGTTGCTTTGTTACGTGTCATTTATATTATGATGTTAATCGCTGCATCGGCAACAAAATATAATACGTTAACTGTGTAAAACGATAGAACAATCAAACTGGTTCTTGTTTAAGCACCAATAACATGTAAAATGGATATACAACATATATAAAAAACTTACCTATGATATCCTTGGCAGGTAAGTCTCTACCTTGTATAATCTTTAGGGCCAAGGTAGAATTAGAGAAGTTATACTCCAGACTAAATTGTATTTGTCCAGCTGGATCGTCTGGTTCAGCCATGGCATTAGCGAGGTCTGCAGCTTCCTCTTGTTGCTGTAAACGAGAACGTACAGAAATTCTACTGAACTTTGTACAGCAAGAATAGACTTATAACCACAGTAAACAACTACTAAGTTTATAAGTATATAACCACTAAATACAGATATGCCTTACTGGGAAACCATAAGTACTACTGACCTCTTACCATTTTATAATCTAAAACCGAATCACTCAACACAATCTTACTAAATGTTTTATCTCAACTAACAAATACTGCTACATTGACTCTGTTTACACTTGAAATTTAGGTGTGAAACTTCGTATGTGGAGAATATAAGATAAGTCAGACTTAGCTATCCATGTCAGGTCTGAATTTAAAAACGTACTTGCTTAAAAAGACGGTGATAAAAAACATCTAGACACCCATTAATTATTTTCGCATATTGGTGTTATGTATCCGTCATTTCTTGTACAGTTTCATTAAACTATCTATCAGAATGTAATTTCATTATTTAGGAACATAATATCTTCAAACCATAAAGAACTACAAAGTCACGTGACAGACTATAGGTAGGTTGCTGTCGTATGGAATATTTCCGTTTATTATTCAGAACCTTAACCAAGGAATGAGGTGTGTCATCCTCTTTGTTTTCAAGTAATTATAATGGCAATGTTCTTTTGGGCATTACACATAGATTATAAACCAATGCCTGTGTGTTTGATTGTATTTTCATAATATGAAATTTTGTAATTTTTTGTTACAATACAAACAAATAATGTGTATTGAACACCATATCCACTTTTATTTAGCTCAATGTAAAGAAAGGAAATAAAAACAGAAACTTTGTCCTCACTAGAGAAGAACAAGGATTCGCAGCTTTAAATTTCCACGGTTACGGTCATCGTAAGTTGTTAACTGACACACTTTTTTATTTCAGTTTCACTGATTTAAAAAAATTGCTTTGACTCAATGATTTTTGCATCAGATATTTATCATAAATGAAAAAAATTCATTATTCTATTTCATAAAAAGGACGACAGATCAGCCACAACGACAGCAAACTAGAAACTGCTAAAATTCTTACCATTTTCTGGCGCTAAATCTTTAGCAAAACCTTCTTGCATCAAGAAAACTAACCTAGACAATTTAAGAAAATTAAACGAAACTCCATCAATTATCTGAAAATTTCCAAAAATGTTTTTATTACGGCCTTTACAGTTATAATTTTATATTGATTTTACCTATAAAATACATTTGTTTATTAACGTTCTTTTGAAATTATTTATAATATTATATACTTAAGATAGAAATAATTAGCATATTACTTAATATAATATTTTCACTGAAAGCGCATAACCTCGGGTATAATTTAATTATGTAACATTTTAGGTCAAGTTTTTAGTTCATTACTTTATATTGCACTTTAATGTTTTTTTATACCTGCGATAACTCATTCCATTTTTACTGATAGATAAATAACTAGTACAAGTACACTTTAGGCCTATTAACTTCATAATGTGAGATTCACCACAGCACGTTATCTGTTTAATACTTTAACTCAATACACATTTTTAGTCATATTCAGCGTAATGATGGTGTTGTTATTAAGACCAAGATTGAAGATAGTGGTTTGTTTGTTTTGCAATTAAGCACAAAGCTACACAAAGGGCTATCTGTGCTCTGCCCACCACGGGTATCGAAACCCGGTTTATAGCAGTATAAATCCGCAGACATGCCGCTGTGTCACTGGGGGGCTCAGCGTAATGACTTCCCAAATCTTTCTAAATTCGTGAAACCCGGTTTATAGCAGTATAAATCCGCAGACATGCCGCTGTGTCACTGGGGGGCTCAGCGTAATGACTTCCCAAATCTTTCTAAATTCGTGTATATCTATCCATCTATTTTGTATGTTATGTTGTAGCTATTATAAATTATACAGTGATTTACTGACGTAATTAAACTTCGACTACTACTTTTCTTTCGTATTACCTCGGCTGATGGTAAAAGAGAGTGGAGAAATGAAATTGGTCCTTGGATGGTGGTGCTAGTGTTCTCTTTCTCATCTTCGGTAATGCTAAAAAAGAGGATTTGAATATTTTTAAAATTTAGAAATAAATACACATATCAACTTATTTTTGTGATGAACTCCACTTTAGACGACAGATATTCAATTCTTATACGCCTGTGGTTTGAAAGCCTTTAATAGACACATTAGGTGAATGAGAAGCAAAACATCTGCCATCTAATGTAATCTTTATCAGAAGCATTAGACTTATTGGTTTCCAATGTTTCTCCATCTTTCGACGTTCACACTACAAATAGGATTAATTCTCATACGTTATACAGTTCAGTTCAAAACTTAATTTTTATAATATATGACGTTATTCTGTTTTAAATCAAATAATACTTTTAAAGGACATAATGTTTGAAAGGGCTTTCACATGGAAAAATCATAAAACTGAAAGTTATTTTCATAGTGTTAGTACATCCAATAAAAATGCATATAAATAGTAAATGGTATAATTCTAAAAAATTAGGGAACAAATGTATGTCTGATGTTTTGTTAATAAAACTATCATCAGGATTTATTCCTGAGCTTTGTTCAACAATGTTGAATAACTTAATCCTTCCTTTTAGCTTAATGGATGTGGAAGTTACTTAGGGTCTTTTGAGAGACACATTCTGACACTCACAGCATTGGATGTGATGCCGAGGGTCCCACCAGGGATGGTATTAATCCTTGTTGAATGCGGTCCTCCACGTTATGCCTTGAAAGTTCTTTCACTTCGTCTGCTTGACCTGTAGGTGGCGATTTCCCAAACTGCAGTGATTCTAGTTCATCTCTTGCTGTCTTTTTGTGCTCAATCTTCCTGCAGTAAATGTAGCAAAGGAACAATGTCACACTCATCGACACTAGCGCCGCTAGTGTTCCTAAAACTGAGGCTACGATGATGGTGGTCATATCCATCATTAATTACTTCTGGACAATTGAGAACAAAACAAAAAGATAGATACATGATATACATATAATTCAGCAAATGCAGGTAAACGTAAATATAAATACTTTATCACAAATTAAGCGTAATTAGCAATGCTTTTATTAACAAATATAACTATTAAATGTAAATAGTATGCATGATTTGATTTTAAGCCACACATATTTGAATAAAGTAAATTATTCAATACATTATTCAATAACAATGACATTTGCCTTACATTGCTTTTTTTCTTTTTTGCATGAGTTACGAACTTTTCATGACACATTGTAGGTAATACTAAATGTCCAATAATAATAAAGACAGATAGCATTGGTAGTTATGTTTAATGATAAGCATAAGATTTTTATGGTACGAATAAAAAACGACAACTTTTCTCATATCGCGTTTGCAATCCTCAGACATATATTATGTTTACTCAGACCTAAGACATGTAAACTTATGAAATATGCATATATTCAGATCGTCTAAATTTTACTTACAGAGCGATCTTAATCCTTTCTCTACCTAATAGAAGTAAATCCGCTTCGAATTACACAATTAAAATTCCATGGTGACCCATTCATTATTTAAAAATTTTAACAGCCTATACATTTCCCAAAATTAAAAGAAAGACACAAATATTATTATGGCGACTGAGGATATTTACGTAACAAATATTCATTAGGCTCAACGAAACTTTGTCCTAATATCACTATATTCAACATACAGGCAGGCAACAGTTAATATCTAATATGACCTTTATTGTTATACACTTTTTAATGGCATCATAAAAGATTATGTATAAATGAATTTGATAATTCCTAAAACATTTTAGCTCTTTGAGCTGAAATTCGGTATTGACAATAACGTGAAATATCTGCTAAAATTTTGAATATAAATTTTCATATCTATTAGTTGAATATGATACTGAGAAATGTTTGTTCATAGTGAGAATTACACTACACAGGTAACATATAATAAATGTAGTAGTAATTAAAACTTTTGTCTTCCTGAACAGTATTCATCATTTTCTACCTTTTTTTCTTTTCAAAACATGAGTTAACTTAAAATTGTACAAATAAAGGTCACATCATTTAGGCACTTACCATTATCCAATGAGAAAATCAGAATAAGAAAAAAATATAAGCAAGTCTTCTATTATTACGCACCCAAAATCCTGCTATACGTCCTAACCACTAACCCATCTGGATTTCGTTATAAAACAACACGTCAGCTAGACTCAAACTCCTGAAACCACATTACAAAGAATTAAACACTTACCGATGTTTATGCTTGGTCAGAAAACAACACATGCCAACAGACTTTAATCATCACTTTCTTTAAACATTCCGTTAAACACTTGCCAGTGTTTATGTATGGCTAAAAAATATAGCTAGTCTTCAATCATCACGTCCTTAATTCACGATGATATTCGCTAAATACGCTTACCTGTGTTTAGGTTTTGTTAAAAAACAACAGCTAGTCTTTGGACATCATGTCCTTAAATCACGCTGCTATCTGCTAAATATACTTACCGGTGTTTATGTTTTATTAAAAAACAACAGTTAGCCTTCAATCATCACGTCTTTAAATCACGCTGCTATCTGCTAAATGCACTTACTGGTGTTTAGGTTTTGTTAAAAAAACAACAGCTAGCCTTCAGACATCATATCCTTAAATCACGATGTTATTCGCTAAGTACACTTACGGTGTTTATGTGGGTGTTAAAAAACAACAGTTAGCCTTCAATCATCACGTCTTTAAGTCATGCTGCTATCTGCTAAATACACGTACCGGTGTTTATGTGGGTGTTAAAAAAACAACAGCTAGCCTTCAATCATCACGTCTATAAGTCATGCTGCTATCTGCTAAATACACTTACTGGTGTTTAGGTTTTGTTTAAAAACAGCAACTAAACTTAAATCATCCCTTTCTTAAAACCAGAGTTGTCACAATTTCCTATTGGAATTCATTTCTCATACGTTATCAGCGAATCGGTCTTGATATCTAGTCACCATGGCAACCTTCAGTAGGAAAGAACTCGGAATGAATACTTGTAATTAAATTCGCTAAAATCTTTAAAAACAATTCACGAATTCGAAGAAAACATCTGAAACTCAGTCAAACGATTACATTTGTGTAAACTCCTCAGGCAAACTTAGTTACAATGGTAATATTTTCTCTATCAAAGTTTGGTACCCCCTTTTCTTTTCTAGTAAATGACCTAGCGATAAGCAAATAAATTACGTTAAGTACTTCCCCAATAATGAGCAGGATAATTATGTATATTATAAGTAAAACGTGTTTCAAGTATGGTGTAACCCAGCTAGCCTGATGCCCTCTCTCACTGAATAGAAAGTAGTAGCATTTAGTTGAAAAGCTCTTATGCAATCTTCTTACTGGAAACGCATAATGGGCCAGTAAAGTGGGTGCAGTTAAAACAGTTACTAGTCCTGTTGTCATGTGATGCGACTTTCATCACCTAACAGATAACTAACCAGTTTCTTTTTTATACGAATGACTGTAAAAATAACATAATAAAATGATCATGTAAACGTTTTATCACTGACTAAGCCGTTTGTTTTATATTTTTTATTATTTGTAATAAATTTTTATATACATCATTCTTTTATTTCAATAATTAGATGCTTATTAAATTTTATATATTTTTAGATACTTTTAGTTGGTAGAGCGAAATTTTGTACCGTTACGTGTTTGTGTTATTTCAAAGACGTTTTAAATGTTCAGATACGTATAATCACTACCATTCCTTACAGAAAAAGTTCAAAAACAATATTGTATGAAAATTAATGTTTAATATATATAACGTATATTTTCCAAAATTCAGCGTTTTACCTTCAAAAATCATCTTCGTGTTTAATTTTAGATTATTTCTGATTGCCTTAAAAGGAACAGGTGTTATAATAAGGAGTGTGTCATGTCGTGCTAAGATACAACAAAAAACAATAATAACAACACCGTTATTTAATATTACTAACACAAGGTAGGCTCGATATAGACTCATGCATGAAATAAAAAACAATGAAACCGAGTAAAGCGGAAATAAGTAATGAATCAAAGCAGAAATAAATAACGAATCAAAGCAAAAATAAATACTTAATCAAAGCAGAAATAAGTAGCAAATTAAAGAAGAAATAAATAGTGAATCAACGAAGAAATAAGTGGAGAATCAAAGCAGAAATAAGTGGTGAATCAATGAAGATATATGTACTGAATAAAAAGAGAAATAAGTGTAGAATCAAATAAAATATATGTACTGAATAAAAAGAGAAATAAGTGGAGAATCAAATAAAATATATGTACTGAATAAAAAGAGAAATAAGTGAAGAATCAAAGCAGAATAAAGTAACGAGTTAAAGCATAAATAAGTAGTGAATCAAAGAACAAGTAAGAAATAAATCAGAGCAGGAATAAATAGAGAATCATTTGTTTGTTTGTTTGTAATTAAGCACAAAGCTACATAATTGGCTATCTGTGCTCTGCCCACCACGGGTATTGAAATCCAGATTCTAGAGTTGTAAGTCCGCAGAAATACTGCTGTGCCACTGGGGGGCAAATAAAGAATCAAAGGAGAAATAAGTAGTAAGTTAAAGCAGAAATAAGTTGCGAATTAAGGTAGAAGTAGTGAATTAAAGCAAAAATAAGTTATAAAGACAATGTTTTTAAACTCTTGTAAAAAAGCAACCGGAAAACCAGAGCCAGGCTAATTGTCTATATAGCCATATTAGAAATGTTGTGCAATCTGAACCTCATCTTCACAGTCACAGGAAACGCGGGCGCACGCGTAAGCGCACACACACACACATATTCTTATATGTATGTTTGTTATGTTGGTTACGAATACCTCACGAAAACTCCCTGCACACCGTAGTAAATCTTCTCTGCAATTCAGGTTTTCTAAACCTGTACAGTATGATAGTACGTTAACATGTTAAACTACAAAATTATGCCAAAATACAAAGATGTTTACACCTACATGAGGATTATATTTATCTAAAAAATACTGAAACTTTATTTGAGAAAGAAAGTTTATGTGAGCCACGCAACTTGCCGACGTGGAAGACAAACAGGATCAATCTATTGACTGGGAAGACAAACAACAGGAACAACCAACTGACTTGGAAGACATAACAAAAACTGCCTACTGATGTGGAAGCCCAACAACAGGAATAACCTACTGAAAAGGTAAACAAACAATAGGAACAACCTATTGACATGGAAGACAAACAATAGAAACAGCACACTGACAGGGAAGACAAACAACAGGATTGCGTTTTCTATCCTTAGTCGAAGTCATAAAAGATAAATTCATTTGATGAAAGCAATAAAACCTACTATAAAAGAAAATGTTATTTTATCATAGCTTAAATTCTTCATTTCAACGAAATATCGAATTTCTGTACATAAATAAACGAAGCCGTTTTAGACCTTTCAAGTCAATAAGACATAACGTTTATGGGCAAATGTTCTACTAAAAAAGAGGTGTATTTCAATTGATCTTCAAGTGCCACTTTTAATGGTTCAGGGTAATATTTTATGCACATCTTTTATATAAAGAAAAAACATTTCTGATAAAAGATTATTTCAAGATTAATTAGAAAAAAGTTAACCTAACAGCACTAAATTATTTGAATGAAAAGCAAAAGATCTTTCTCTGTTACGACAGCGGAAATCACGTGACTCTGGTAACACGTGATGAATTTCTGGAATGATCATGAATTATCGGGTAAGCCCGAATTTGTTCGAAACGCCCTCTTTTTTAGTATATAAGACTGGCAGAGAAAGCCTGGAAAAATGAATGTATGATAAAGCGAACAGTAGTCCCGGTACGTTTCGGGCGAAGTTATCGAGATTGTGAATCACTGTGGTTTATAGCGTGAATTATAAAAGTTGTTAAGTTTAAAGTGACGAGAAACGTACTGATTTTGAAATTATTGTGTACTAAAAGTTTGTATCGAGGAATAATAAACGGGTTTAATCAAGAAAGGACTTGTATCACTGAAGTTCCTCGGGAAAGAAATTCTACCGGAAATTAACAAACAAGCAGATACGTAACACTTCCTAATAAGAATCCTAACGTAAACCACCAAGAAAATTAAGAGCAGTGACTACTACTAGGCCTAACATTTATTATCTTTCTCAAACTAAACTACAAATGCCTTTTTTTCTATTCCTTTTAATTTGTACATAACAGATTTAAGACAAGCAAAGTGAAGAAACGGTGTTTTGGATCTTTCTCCAGCAGGTCATTGCCCATGTGGTCTTTCATCCGATACTAACTCACCTGCTGGGATGAACGATAACAGATAAAATCCATCTGAAAAGCTAGTACAATAACTTTAAAGTTACGGTTTTGAATAAGGAAAACACGTAAAGCATTAGAAACCTGCAGGCCTATTTATGATGCTAAACCGCATACTTACTTCTAGAGTGATACAAACAGTCAGAAGAATATCACACTCGCCCCCCACAAAATCTTACATCTAATATTTCGCTTAAATTTATAGCTTTCACTGTCAACTTGTTTTAGCAAACTTGCTCACTTTCGATGTATGAAGACAACATTAGTAATTTTGCATATAAAACATGCTTGTGAAACGCTATACAACAAGCTCGTTTACTCCTTATAAGTCAGTGCACATACGCCAACAGTCAAGTCTTCGTTGTTCCGTTCTTACAATATATGCGTCGTTAAGTTTGACAACAACTTAATTTATATGTAAAGTTTCTTTGACCTATAGCCGTAACTTAGCAACAAGAAAAACGATACCTAAGCGTCTTTACACGATACCAACGTGACGTTCTGTTGCCAATGGTAACGAAAGTAATTGGTGTAGAAGACAAGGTGACATTTTCTACAGACTTTTAAAAGATTTAACCACACCTCACAAGTCACCCCAAGCGTTACAGATTACAAAATATTCCACCGTAACTTAGAAGCGAACCATTAGCAAACGTGGACGTACTTGAATTATAATAAAGTCGTTATATATGTCTGTATATTACATTATCTAATTACACACTCTCAACAAGCGACTTGGTATATTACACTCAATATATATGTATAAGGTGCAGTTAGTATTCACTCCTTCATGTAGTTGAGATTATATTAAAACATTTGCCTGGTAGAGGTGTTATTTTTAACTTTATGACAACATCATATTGTAGAATATGAAACGGTGCTTGTAATAATTCCTAGAAATGTTAACACTTTTTCGGGCTATTAC